GACTGCATCTTCTAAAGTTGAAAACAATGGGGAAAAACGGGTATCAGCAAGAGAATTCCCAAAGTCAGGGGACATGATGCCAAATGATCTGATGCTTTGGAGTCTAGGGGCAGGCCTGTGCTTCCTCTCCTGTATGTGTGCACAGCCAGCCCTCTGTATCCAAGGGTTCTGCATCCATAGATTCAATCAACCTGCCTATTCGGAGGGCCGACTGTACTATCCTTTTAATATATGGGACTCGAGCATCTGCCGATTTGGGTACCCACCAGGGTCCTATAACCAAATCCCTGAAGATATCGAGGGGCAATTTAGTTATCCTCTGTGAAGTAATTTACTCTTTGTTCATTTTTACCTTTCATCTAACATTTAAAGTGAGGTTTGGGTTTTTTTAATTGAAGAGAGAGGTGGTGTTTTTATTTTGTTTCAATTTTTTAAATTGTTGCTTGGTTTTGTGTCTATTCATCCCATATCCTACATTCAAACTCCCTTTTCAGCCTTGTCTTGCAGCCATGATATACGTAGACAAGGACAAATCAGCAAACAAAAATCTTCTTCCTTGATTTTAATTAATTAATTTATTTATTTTGGCTTGGCTTGGCTTTGCCAATTTAGGAGTACTTTATGGAGTATCCATTTCCCAGTTGGGTCATTATTGTAGGTGTTTTAACAACTGAATGGCATACATGATTAGATAGCCTAAGACAGCTGCTGCTGTAGACAAACTGATTAGAGTCCACTCCTGTCTCTTGGCCTTTTCTCATAGTATGACCTTGGGCAAGTTCCTTAACTTCTCTCGGCCTCCGTTCTCCTAAAAATGGGGGCAGTAACAGTATTTTCCTGGCAGTTAGTAAGTTCTCCATGTTACTATTATTATACTGGTTCAACAAAGAATGTTTCCTTTCACATTTCTTGACAATAACAATGATGACAATTACTGCTACTACCATCACCACTATGACCATCACTAGTAAGAATAATAATGACAGCAGCAGCTATATCATCTGCCTGCTAGGTGCCTACCACTGTGATATGTGCTTCACATATAACTGAACATTTGAAAAATCAGAATATATATATGTATATATTCTGAAATCTGATCTGACGCTTTAAAAAAGCCTTTGGAGAGTTAGGTTAAAGGAAAAATTTCTCCTTGTTTCCTGTGTACTTAATAACTACTATAAAAGTAGTTACTGCATTAATAATACAGTAATTATTAACCATGAAACCACTGACAAAAAGGGAATAAAAACATTACTGGTCAAGTTGTACCCTCTTGCAGTGTGTATCGCTTCTCCTTTCCATTTTCAGCAGAAAAAGAGTTGAGGAGAGGTGATGGAGGCGTAGCAGGCAC